TCACCAGGAAGGTGTTTTTCTTTAGACAATATGGAAATGTAACTTTCATAAGACATTGTGCAATGTCAAGTGTTGTTTTTGGGTTGGTATGTTGTATAAAGGTATGTGATGAAGTCACAAACCTGCCTCATAACTAACACTGTTTAAACACTGTACCCCAAAAGACTTCTCATCACTCAAACTTTGCCGTTAATAGGAGAGCTGTGTGTATATCGGCGATCGACAGAACAACTTCCCAACCTCTCAAGAGGAGTCTTTGGATTCCTGATCACCAAGATCGACTTTCTTTAAATTCAAATGCAAGTTGGAAAATGCTAATTCAACTGTGCACTACGTAATGATGTTACAGCTCAGGGTCTTCTCTGAATTATCACACAGTGATGCTACAGGTCAGGGTGTTCTTTGTGATATCCCACAGTGATGCTACAGGTCAGGGTCTTCTTTGTGATATACTAGAATAATAGTTAAAAGGCTCAATTTTTCTAATTTCACAAAACATCATGTATTTTTTAAGGAATCTGAAGAATCTTTAGCTAGAAGTGAAACTAAAATTGGCCTCTTTTATAAAAATATGTTTCAAGGATTATATTTGGCAGTGACTAGCATAGAGAGGAGCAAGACCAGAAGTAAGATTGGAATCTTTTGAAACTTGATGAGACAGAGCTGATTGTGTGTCTGTTTGTTAGGAGGAGTAACGTTAGCGCGTTATCACACTTTAGTTTGGCCTTTATTAAATCAGTAACAGTAGCTGTCTGGCTAACTAACATGATTGTTTTGATTATGTATTGATGTTTTAGCTGTGTCTATGGTTGGTTCCTAGGTAACAGACATGACAGCTGATTGTCGACTCTGATCAAGCAAGTTAAGATTTCATAACTGGAAATAAGATGCTGTAAGATAAGATTTCTAAATTAAGAGATGCGAAAAATCTCATCTTGATCTGTCAGAACTTAAGATAGAAAGTTATAGAGTTGAATGTAAATACAGCGCCTGGTAAACATCTTGTGCCTGAAGAAAGTTGCAGGCCTGCTGTTCTTCTCCATCCGTATAACACTGCTTTGAGACCAGACCTTGCAGCATCGATCTACAAGATTGTGGGTTACTTCCACTTTCTCCAGCTAAGGACTGACCCCACTGCCATAATGAAGCCATGCTATCTGATTTCTGTGACGTCTGCAGCACATCTGTTGTGCCAGTTCCACCCAGCAGTCCGCTGTTCACAGGCTGAAATGACACTTTAGCCCCAGTGCTGTGGAAGACAAAATCAACATGGCTAGGGAACAATTACTAATTGAAACCAGCTAAAACCGGTCTTAAGGGGGCAGGGCCTAAGGGGACAAGGGGCAACTTGAACATCAATGAATTTAAACTTGATTTAGCACATTATTTAGAGAGACAGTCTAACTATTCAGACTAGGCTTTCCCAAGGGAGCCTAGAACATGTTTTGTTTAGGGATAAAGTTATTGTATGGGTATTGAAAAGAACCACATAATATATTATAATGCATTCTTGAAGGGGTAGTTTGAAGCCCCTTGTGGAACCAGCAGTAGCATTTTCTGTGGAAAAATTTGACTCTAGGAGACTTAATCAAGCTAATCGAGGTGGATCAGTAGGTGTTAGCATGTCCCACTCAGTCTTCACTCAAAAAACAGTAACTAATGAGAAAAAGAACAACCTCGTCAAAGACAGGAGAACAACAAGAGTCTAAAAAGCAGAATTTATTGTAACATATTTTAGCTGCTCTTGACAACAGATTAAATAAATATCCACCGCTAACAGAAAATCCTCATCCATGAAATGCAGACTGTTTTTCAGTTAAGTCATCTAATGGACAAACATAGATGGAGATGATTGTATACTTAAATAATGAGGACAATACATGTTTTACTGCCCATAAAACTAGCTAGCAACGGTTAGCAGAAAAGCAGCACTCACCTCAGACTCTCAGAATCAATCTTTTACTTTCCAAAACCTCTGAGTGAATTTTTCATTTCATTTTTCATGCAGTTTCATTCAGTTTACATCTTTGTGTATGATATTAACTGAATCTTCTTCCTTGCGAAGGACAGAAGTCATTAAAACAGTGCTGCAGAGATAACAGCCTTTATTCATCAAAGTTGTGTACAGGCAACTCTGACTGTAAATGAGCGCACCGATAGTTTCATTATTCATCAGTTTCACCTTTGGGGAATCTGTATGATCAAACTAACGTCTGGTAGGAGTGTGTACATTTGAGTGTAAATGCTTAGCAACCTGAAAAAAAAATGCTTTATTTGAGGTCAACTTACCAAAACTATTAATGGTATTATCTATAAGAACAATAATATGCATAAAAGTAGAAAATAACGACAATACTACAACCACATTTCCAACAAAGTTGGGACGCTGTGCAGAATGTACATAAAAATAGGACGCAATGATATGCAAATCATGTAAACCATATTTTTAAAGGAAAATACTACAAGGACAACATATCAAATGTTGAAACTGAGAAATTAGATTGTTTTTTTTTAAATATTTGCCCATTTTCAATTTGCTGCCAACAACACGTTTCCAAAAAAGTTGGGACGAATCATTTTTACCACTGTGCTTCATCACCTCTTCTTTTAACAGCACTCTGTAAGCGTTTGTTGCCCCTGTCCCAACTTTTTTGGAACATGTTGTTGGCATCAAATTCAAAAGTTTTTCAAAAAACAATAAAATTTCTCAGTTTCAACATTTGATTTGTTGTCTTTGGAGTATTTTCAATTAAATATAGGGTTTAAATTATTTGGACATCATTGCATTTTTTTTATTTACATTTTGCACAGCATCACAACTTTTGTTGTAATAATTTATGCACTTGACAATCCAATACAAAAGTGGATGTTCTTATTTTACGTGTACATTTGTATAAATAAATGCTGCAACTACTCCACTAATGTTCCACTTACACTGTGCAGAAGTATCATACACTGCCACAATACAGCATTTAAATGTTGTTTTATGAAAGACATTTTGTTTATTTCACATTTTATTCTTTTCAACAGTCGTAATTTTAACACTATAAAGTTTAGTCAGCAGGGGGGGCACTGCACTCACCTCTCAGCCACTCTGCCTACAGGCGCAGCCATTGGCTCACAGCCGTTGAATGCTGTCGTTTTTGGCTCCCTACCAAATCATCTGTGTGAGTTAAAGCGTGCTTCATGTGAATGACGTAAACGAGGTGCTGGCTGAGCGGCGCTTGATTTCTTGCACTGAAGCTGAGTCAGCACTAAAATCTGCACTCGTTTTCATGTTGTATGAGCTGCTGTGCATCTGATTCATGACGCGTTTGTACATCATTGGACTGTTCATATCTGCACTCTTTTTTTTTAGTAACTTTGATGAATAAAGGTCTGTGTATTTGTTGAAGAGCACTCTGTCAGTCTAACCCAGTCTAAACAGCTCTAAAGTGAACCATTATATACCACTGTAGTTGTTAATGATTCATCCATTTTATGGCACTCTGGAACTAAGCAACTGCTCTAAAATGCAGCTGGTGTTCTGGTTCAGAACAGAGAGTGTCATAAAATGAATTTGGCGGACTTGCTGTAAACTTTAGGAATGTACTAACACAAATGAGACTTCAGCATTCACACAGCAACTTAAGAATAAAATAAAACAAGGACCCTAACTGCTTATTGGCAACATATTTGATTTTCTCTTTTGTTTTATCCGGATGTTTTTATTCTGGATTGCCTGTAATCACTTTAACGTCACTCACTGAGAAACATGTCCTCAAAGTCCATAATGCTCCTCTTATTTGAGCTGCATTATTGACTGTATGGACGTTTCTCAGTGAGTGATGGGTCAGAATGTTCCTGTGCAGACTAATGCTTATTTTCTAAAAACATCCTACAAGAAGAAAAAATGCAAGAATGCTTAAAGAGGGTATTCAGTAACACATAATCAGAGAATGAAACACTGAGCAGAAAACCTGCTCACTAAACTCCTACAGTGACATGCCGTGTGCTTCAATACTGGTTTTAACACACCCTCACGACTCTAAGTCTGGCTGTGTAGGTTATGTTTTTGAATAGTTTTAGAGTAACATATGAATGCAAGTAAAGACAAACTGTCTATTAAACTGAATCAGAAAATGGTCCATTACTACAAACGCAGTAAATGGTTTTGTTGCACACTGATGCAGTGATTCAGATTAGCATGTGTTGTTTTTTGACACACGATTTTGAGCTTCAGTGTTAAGGAACATCAGTAATTTATTCTCTTTTTTCTCGCTGTGGGTTGCATGATAAATAAAGCCCAGCTTGAACAAAGAACGTTTACAGTTACAGCTCTTAATTACAAAATTTTAAGTATGTTATTGTTTTGTCCTTCATTTTTTGGGGGCTGAAACGTGAACTGAGTCAGATCACAATGATTTCTGGGCTACTTTGGCTTCTGAAGTGTGCAGTGATTTTGACTGTCAAACAAACATTAGTTGCGTGAATGCAGTGATGTAACAGCCCTAAAGATGGCACCACAGAACAGTGAGGTGAAGTTAAAAGGGCTTTTTCAAAATTTCTGAATAACTCAGTGTGTGAGATGTAAACAGAGGGATTCAGAGTGGTTTAGTGTGAAATGGGTCAGATGTCTTTACAGTGGTGGTGATAGGAACCAGGGGTCGCCATGACTACAACACAAATATAGACATTTTATTTACTATCCAGAACCACCAGTGAACCTACACGAGTCTTCTGAGTCTATATGGAATGTTGATGATAGAAAAATAGTGGAGAATCTGAAATAATAAGTTTTCTTTGGGGACTATTTTGCCTCACAGCGCCCTGCATGTATCACTCCACCATGAATGGAGTTTAAGTTCTCTAAACTATCATAAAACAGTGTCTCAGTCATCAGGCAGTGAATTCATAACCATTTCATGTGGTAACTTTCTGTGAGGGAGCTTTTAGAGGTGGACGTCTGGTTCCTATCACCACCACTGTGAACAATTCTGACTCAGTAAGTTTATCTAGAACAGAGCGTTTCACACCAAACCACTCTGAACCACCCTGTTTACATCTTAACCGTTTAATTATGCAGGACTTTCGATGAGGTTGTGGTAAAACCAGTACTAAATGGAGGCGTGTTCAGTTTTTTAAAGCCTGTCATTTTCCAGTGTGAACTGCTTTATGACGTATAAGATTGCTGAGGAAAGAGAAACTCTTCCCGCACTGAGCACAGCTGAATCGTCTCTCTCCGGTGTGAACGCTCTGGTGGACCTTCAGGTTGTTGGCGTGCGCAAAATGTTTTCCACATTTGGCGCAGCGGAATGGTTTTTCTCCGGTGTGGACCCTCTCGTGCCGTTTCAGTCTGCAAAGCTGGGGAAACTGTCGTCCACAGCGGCCGCAGCGGTAGACCTTCTCCTCCGTATGGACTCGCTCATGGAGCTTCAGCTGCTTCATGTGGCTGAAGCTCTTCCCACACAGACGGCAGCTCCATGGAGCATCTCCACGCAGAGTTTGAGGGCCACCATTAGGACCACGCTGCTGGTCACACGTCCAAGATAAGTGATCTCTGCTTGTGCTGCTGAACGAGCCAACGAAACCTAAAAAACGTTTTTCAGAAGAAGGACTATGTCCGTCTCTGTACTGGAGTCCGTGTCGTGTGCCGACGGGTTCATCCGTGCCTTTTTGTTGACACTCCAGCTGTCGGTCTAATTCTTCTGCTGGTCTGGGTTCAATTATGAAGAAATCTGGCTTCACATCAGCGTCAGAACAAGACTGCTGAGCAGGCAGAAATTCAGCATGTTTATGATCAAAGGCAGGAGTCTCAGTTCCTTCACAGGCTGTTTTTATGTCCACACAGACGGTCGCTTCACTATGGTCAACATCTAAATAAAAATACATGCAGAAAATGAATCACTTTATAAGTGTGTTACACATATGAGGAATGAGTCTTGGTGAGTCACACATGCATGACATTAACATACTGAACAGACAAGAACACTGACAGAAGTTTGGAAAACAATTTTGGACATAATGTCTTTGAACATTAATGATATATTAAAAAATCTCTCTCATGACAATCAAACGAGTACCTTTAACAGCGTCCACATCGTTATCAAACTTAACGCAATGCACTGCAGCCTCTGTTCTCACTGTAACTTTACCCTGTAGAGTAGATAAAATAAAAATGAACGTTAAAAGAGAATTCCCAGTTTCCCAAAACCCAGCAGTCCGAGGCCGCTGGCTTACCAACAGGGAGGGTGGCCGACCCGCCTCGGCCACAAGGGCTTTAAAGCCTCCTGCCTTTGACTCCCCCATTCCGACCCACAAGGTCGCTATATTTTGGGAATACTCAACATTAAGACGTTTGGACAGAACTGCATAAATCACTGAATAATATATTTAGTGAATTTCGCTGTGAATTGGACACATTTTTCCTGGGGGTGCTAAATTTGATCAAGATCGGACAAATATTTATGAGACATTCTATTAACTAGAAGTAAAAAAGCTGTAACAGGGAAGTGTCTCTCTCCCGTGCTTTAACAGTCAGGCTGAAGCGCAGCTGCAGAGCACTGTGCTGCTGTAGAAGCTGAGATTGTAGCCCTCTGAGTCAAGTACAGCTGTTATGAGCTACACAGACGATAAACAGTGTAACAAATTAGAATTGTTTTCTTCATCGCTCTGCTGAGGACCTTCACTCACCTCCTCAGAGTCTCTTCTGCGTTTCCCAGGTTCATCGTCTGGTCCCACAGAAGGAAAAGCAGCTGAACCTGCAGTACAGACTCTCTCCATCTGACTCGTGTTCGCTTTAGCAGATACTGTACGGAGGAAAAAACACAGTTATTATGTTTTATCAGGGAAAAGCAGACACAGAAACCAACACCAGCTTTAGCTTCACTGGCTGCCTGTTTCCTTTAGACTAGACTATGGAATTTTACTGCCGTTTTTAAATCTTAACGCTTTAACACCTTCATACGTCTCTGAGTGCTGATAGATGATGTTCCAAATCCAGCTTTAAGATCATCCAGTTCTGCTTCTCCATGTTCCACGTATGAAACGTAAACAGAGCAGAAAGGTTCTGTTTTTATGGACCAAAGATCTGGAACATGTTATCTATAAACATTTGTCAGATTCCTTCTGTCAGTGGCTTTAAAAAACAGCTAAAACATTTCTTTACCTTAGAATTTAACTAGTATTTATTGTTTTCCTGGTTTTCCTGGAATATTAGTTTTACTTTCTTGTTATTTATATTTTTAGTGTATTTTTATTTATACTTTTTAAATAATTATAAAATCATTTTTAGTTTTAATTATTGTTATATCCCCCTTTCTGCTATTGCTTTTATTTCTTGCATTTTTATTATCTATTTTATTTTTGATGATCTTTTCTCTCCTTCTGTCTTTACTTTGTACTGGGAAGCACTTTGAGCTGCATTTTTAATGTACGAAACGTGCTATATTAATAAAGATTATTATTATTATCATTAATACAATAATGAAATACTGACAGATGAAGAATACGGATAAAGCAGCAGCATGATTTTCCACTTTATAATTCATTATTGTTCAGTTAATTATTATGATCAGTAATGTCAACAAATACTCCTCAGTCTCAGTTGTCAATGTACACTTTTCATAATGTGGCGTGATGTTTACTTACGTTCCTCCCCAAACGAGGAGGCGCTGCAGACTGTCTGTAGCTTTTCTTCTTTCACTATCAGCACATCCGGCTCGTCTTCAGGGTCTGTAGGCTTTAAACGATTCGTGATGTGTTTTTCAGTCAACAACAGTGATCAGTGATTTATTGCAGTCCAAAAATAACAAAAAATATATTTCTCAACAAATTCAGACAGAAGAAGTACAAAAGTCTTAGTCCATCTGAGTTTATTCTGATGTTATACACTGTAAAAAATGGCTCATCAGTTCAAACTAAAAAAATTACTTCATGTGGTAACAAGTAAATTAATAAACGAGTTTTATACAAACTAAATAAATACTTTAAACAGTTGTTTCATTTAATGTTTTGAGTTGAACAGAACTAGTTCAATTCCTTGTTACTACATTAACTATTTTTTTGGTTGTACTAATGAACAGTTTTTACAGTGTATAGTTTTACTGTATTTATTTGTACTTATTCTAATGTTATATAGGATTTTACGGTATTACTGTATGTCAAAAGCCCAATTACTGCACAGATAAACAGTTATAAACAAGACTTTTGCACAGTATTTGCCAGGAAATTTTTTGTGATGACGTTTTGTGATGGTATAATTATAAGCTATTATACATTTTTGTATTTGTTTTTGTTTTACCTCGTCCTTGACGGTGATTGCCTGATCTGAAAGTCCTCCATGTTCATCTGCAGTGCTGTGGTCAGTTCTGCTGGACGTTGGTCTCTTTACCTGGGTAAAGCCGGCTGGGAAACAAATATACATTTATAACTCTCACAAAAATGTTTTTACTATAGTGGCTTCATTATCTTTGCTTATTGTATGTTTAACCACAGTTCTACAATAAACTACTGTAGTTTCTAACATTAACTGTATTTATACAATAACATCACAAACTCTTTACTATAATAACTAATGCAGCTACAGTTACTGTGCAGTTAAACTAGATTTGACTGTGAATTACTGCCATGGTTTTGATATACAATACAGTTACCCACAATTCTCTCATTAATTCTGTCATTAATATACTATGGAGCCTTTTTTGACTATGATGTGCTACTATTTTTAACAATATTGAGGGGAAAACTAACATCTGAATGTGATTCAGCAAATAAACAGTGATTGTGGATGTTTCTTATTTTCAATCGTGTTATTGATAACAATATATGACACATTCTCCATCAGTCAGAGGAACCGTTAAATGGTTCTATATAAAACCATCCACAACAATCTGAAGAACGCTTTCATGCGGCAAAGACCCCTTTAATCATGCAGAGGGTTCTCTGAGTGTTCGTGGTTCCATTTTCTTTACGAAAGAACCACTTTAGAACCATCTTTTTAACAATGCTGTAATATTGTTATTGACAGCAGCGTACAAACATTGTCCATCAGTCTAAAGAACCATTTCACCATGGAAAGAACCGAAATGGTCCTGTATAGAACTCTTGGTTCTGAACAGAACCACTGCCTTTCCTAAAGAACCCTAGAAGAACCCTCTTTGTAAGGGTGTACTGTTATAGCTGTGTTATTAACGGTGTGCCTGTTGTTCTGTGACTTTGTTCCAGAACCGAGTGGCGCTGATGGTTCCGGAGTGAAGGCGCTGACCTGCGGAGGCGCACGGAGAGCGCGCGTGCAGTGAAGCTCTCTCCATCACTCTGATCCGCTCACGCAGCAGCTCGTTCTCCCTCCGGCTCCGCGAGACCTGCAGCTCAATCACCGCGTCGATGACTTTACAGATCTGCGCCACCGCCGCGCTCGACAGCGCCTCCATAATGGAGGCGATCTGAGCCTGGAAATCCACACCGGCCATTTAACCACCGCGGCGCGGACCTGGACACGAGACAGTCGCCTATGGCCGGCGGCGGGACGGGACTTCAAAATAAAAGTCCTCTTGTTGTTCATTCCTTACACAGTGAAGTCCTCGTGAGCGATAATCAGCTGTAATAACCCTGCTGAAAATAACCATAGAAACCATCCGTGGTGGAAAATATCGAAGTAAATGTAATAATAATAATAATAATTAATAATAATAATTTTATTTATAGAGCACTTTTCATGCCGGTGGCAGCTCAAAGTGCTTAACAGACAGGTGATAAAACATAGCTATAGAAAAGATCATTAGTACTTAATTAGAATCAGAAGAAAATGAAGATTAAATTACAAGATAAAAACCACGAAACATTCGGTTTTAGCTTTTGTGTATCTTTACTGAAGTTTTTCCATTTTGGGCGACTTTTTACTTTCACTCCACTACATTTCAAAGTCAAATATCTCACTTTTTACTCCACTACATTCTGAGAAATCTGTCGTTCCTTTTGGTTTATGTGTGTCTAAAAACGTAACGTCAAAACAAAAGAAGCGCAAAGCAAAAACACCAATCAGGGCACAGCGGTCACTTTGCTTTGAGCTTGCTCTGACCTGTTGGTCATACCGACCCAGTGCAGCACACGGTTTATGTTTATGAACAGAGACCTACAGATGCAGTTTAGTAAAGAAAAACTCATTTGTGAATCTGAGTTTTTATTAAACTTAAACTTGTAACTAAGTTGCAAATAAATCTTGTTTGCCTTCAGTGTTTTGTGCTTATGATAATTTTAATAAACATCAGCGTCACTAATTAATGACCTTCTATTGAAAGACTGGTTTACCAAGAGCGACACTGGAGTATTTTCACCTAAAATGAGTTGATGAAGCGAGTCGTGTTATAAAAATGATAACAGGACATCAGAGCCATAATTAATCTTTTAGTACTTTTACTTTTGATACTTAAGTACATTTGAAGGCAAACACTTTTGTGCTTTTACTCAAGTGGAGGTCTAAAGGGAGGAACTTCTACTTTTACTGGAGTAATATTTTACCTTGGGCATCTCTACTTTAACTCAGGTAACTGGTTTGTGTACTTCGTCCACCACTGGAAACCATTAAGTGTTTCTGTTGGTTCCTGATGGTTTTGTAATGTATTTTGCCTTTTTAATGGGTTGATACCACAATGTAAAGGATCATAATGGTTTAACAGGAGACCAGCGGCTGATTCTAAATGTATTTGATGGTTTCCTAATGGGCTCTAAAGGTGTTCTACAGGAAACTAGTGGTCTCTATTGGAAATAAAGCCAATTCAGTGGTTTCTAAAGGTCCTGTTTCCCCATGTGGAAAAACATATGTTTAAAAATGTACCAAATATATTTTTGCAATGTATGAGAATGGCCAAAAATGTATTTGTTAAATATATTTTTAAATGCATTTATCAGTATTAGTTATCTGTGTTGAGTTGAGTGTAATGAAGGTTCCAGATGTAACTAAACGTTCTTCTGTGATCTGCACTGTACTTTACATTAACCATGTACGTCTGCAGTCAGACTCTCACACACAATGTATTTCACATAAACAAGATATCAGATCATAACTGCATTTTCACAGAGTATCAATACCCACAACACTCGCTTCTGTCCTGTTAAAGGATCATTTGATCAGATTTAAAATGAAGATACTGGAACACAAATTCATTTCTAAAGGTATCAGACAGTGAAGAGCATCAGACAGGATTCTAGATATTTTCATACATTTCAAATGGATTTGATAAACACATTTACATAGTTATTATTGAATGTACAATTTAACCAACAAAAGGACAAAAATCTTATTTAGCAACTGGTAAATTTATTATAATAACAGATTAACAATATCTCTCACGGTTTAAAAATACTTATTGCTGATACAGTCTGGTAATACATACAATGATAGAATAAAACACAATATTAAACTAATTTTAACAAATTATGATACAAAAATACTGAGAAGTGTTGATAATCTGATAAAGTGTTGATATATTTATAATTAACTCGGCAGGCAAATTATCAGAGAATGTAGTGTTTATAGTCACAGCTAATAAATCTGGGTCACATTTGCCCAAGTTTAATTTATGCATTAACCAGCCGTTTGAGTGCAACCTCCTAATGATAAACAGGGAAATTATGAGATTATGAGAGCCGTCCAAACGCACAGCAGGAACTGTGTTGACAGTTGATGAACTGATGGTGCATCTTCATCGGCTCGTAAAGTGTGAAGATCACATTACTCACATTATTCAGTCATGGGTGCACTTCACTCAGTTATTGGGCTATTCTACTCAGTATTAGCCTATTTCACTTCATTACTGGTATATTTCATTCAGTTTTTGGCATATTTCACTTATAAAAACCTCATCAGCCAACTGATTAATCTCAACAGAAATGGAATCTGGAGAGAAGATGGACATTTTAACAAGACAACAAGCTCAAACATACAGGCAAAATAACTCAAAAACGGTTTCTAAAAGGAAGGTGAAGGTGCTTACATGGCCAAGCCAATCTCCTGACTCGAATCCCACTGAAAATCTATGGGGGCTTTTAAAATTGCAGGTCAATCTGAGGGACCCTTGTAAAGTTGGGGAATTAAAGATGGTTTACTGAGAGGAAAGAACCAAAACATGAATAACTCTTACTGTGACTTACGACTTTGCAAGAAAAAAGAACTAAAAAGTCATTAACTAAGGTGTCTGAATACTTATTTCCCCTCACAGTTTGCTTATATTCATATTTATAAAAGCAAAGTCAAACACATTACATGTGAATTTGAAGTGGATATATACACAAAAGCATCTGAACACTTGTACGAGCACAAAAAACTGTAAATTCACTTCAGTTTTGAATAACAAAATGTTCTATTTAATCCTCGACCTGACAACCAGTAACTCTGCGGTCACTCAGTATGCTACACAGTAGAGGTCTGCACTCTCGCGGATTTCTACTGGACCTGCCACAATGTCTTGCAGTGCGGGACTAATTTTCAGTGCTGTGCTGAGCGGGTGGGTAACCAGCCCCCTGCAGGCGGGAGCGGGAAAAAGCACACATGAAGAGAAATCCCTCAAAATCAGTGAACAGCGTAAATAAAGTTGAATGGTCATTAAATCATGTATATAAACAATACAAAATTATAAAAATAGAACAGTTAAAATGAATGAAAAAGAGCTGTGAAATTCTTGTTGCTCACAGAGACGCTGAGCCTTCAGTGCGCCGGCCACAGCTGCCCAGCAAAACACCAAAAATAACCGCTCCATGGTTTAATTCCTGCTGTGTTTAAATGGCGAATAAATGGCATTTGTTGAAGTTACCCACAGGGAGCGTGATGACCATGACTGACCTGTTATTTCAGCAGAGAATAGTGTGTTTGTGAACAGACTGACAGATATTGGACTCAGTTCACGTTCATGGAACTGTGTTTTGTCGGCAGACGGGAGCGAGATGAAATCTTGTGGGAGTAGCACTGAAAAAACACAGCGGCTGACGTTCATACGCAAAGTGATTCCTATTAAAACTACATTACAAACATGTCTGATGACTGTGGAACATTAATGCTACTTCAGTTCATGATCACATTCTATCTTTGCTTACAACAACATTAGTACTTCATGCTGTGTTTTTTTAAACATCGCGCCGCTTTACCTGAAAATATTTTGGTGTTTGGTTTCAGCGCCACACCAAAAGTGTTTTGCTGCACCTCGCGACATCCACCATCTGATCTCGCGCAGACTGAGACATCAGATAGAAATCAAAGTGAGAGTTTACATGCACTAAGAAATCTGATTATTGAGCTAAAATTCAGCCTTTTTATCAAATTTCTTAACCGAATTTCTAGATCAAAGTATGGTGTTTACATGACTATTTGAATAATCAGATAACTGCAGAAATCCGATTATTGAGTGCAAGTATACGCACTCAGTGTTATAACAAAGGTTTCTGGCCGTGTGTTATATTTCTGCTGAACATGGAATTTAAATTGAATGTGCAAAAAGAAAACTTCTGGGCGCGTGTGACAGCATTGATGATACATAAAAAAGTGATTTTCACACGCTTACGTGTTGTGAGCTTTGACCTTCCTACAAGGACATTTGTGTGACTTTAAAGAAGCCAAATGCGTGAAGCTCCGCCCACAATCCGAGCAGTGATACGGTTTCTCTCCGGTGTGAATGCGCTGGTGTGCTTTGAAATTCCGACTATCATTAAAATACTTCCCGCACTCTGTGCAGTAATATGGTTTCACTCCAGTGTGAACACGCTGGTGCGTCTGGAGATGAACGAGTTGATTGAAGCTCCTCCCACAGTCTGAGCAGTGATACGGCTTCTCTCCAGTGTGAACGCGCTGATGAGTTTGGAGATTACGCTTGTCACAGAAACTCTTCCCACACTCTGAGCACTGATACGGTTTCTCCCCGGTGTGAATGCGCCGGTGTATTTGGAGAGTATAATGTACACTAAATCTCTTCCCACATGCCGAACACTGATATGGTCTCTCTCCTGTGTGAATGCGCTGGTGTTTTCGGAGGCTACACCTATGTTTAAAGCTGTTCCCACACTCAGAGCAGTGATACGATTTCTCTCCAGTGTGAATGCGCCGGTGCGTTTGGAGATTAATTTGTTGTGCAAAACTCTTCCCACACTCCGGGCAGTGATGCGGTTTCTCTCTTGTGTGAACGAGTTGATGCGATTTTAAATGAACATGTTGATTAAAACTCTTCCCACAGTCTGAGCAGTGAAACGGCTTCTCCCCGGTGTGAATGCGCTGGTGTAATTGGAGACTACTCCGCCGTTCAAAACTCTTTCCGCACTCTGAGCAGCGATGTTTTCGTTCCTTGGCTGTATTTTTCAGCACTGTTTTAGTGCAGACAGTTCGAGAGTGTGTTCTCTGAGCACTGGAGCTTTTTGTGGATGCCATACGAACACATTTAACCTCTGGTGGATTCAGTCGTTTTCCTCTTGGTGGCATCTCCAGATGTGTTTGAGGAAGTAA